TTTTTTCTTCGAACGTACTCGAATGCGCTCGACTATGAGACTCGTCGCTTAAGGTCAATGCCAATGCGAATCGATCAAACGTTTGACTAACGTTCACAACCGATCGATCTGCACGATCGACACGAACTTGGATTTGATGTTTACAGGAAATTTTCAATAGCAGACGTTCATCACGAATGTCTTCCACGCGCGACAATCTAGTATCAGGATCTTTGCTCACGCGTGTGCATGCTATGGAAAAAATAACAAGTAGAAATTTTTGATACGATGCTATAATAGAAATGTTTGATAATAACGCAAACTGGGATCATAAAGTAAACATTTCCAATTCTTATTTACACACCGTTCGAAAATATTTTTTCTAATTCGCGAATCAATTTCATAATTTGATGGATAACATTCAGCATTTACATTCTTTTCTTTCCTTTTTTCTTTCTTTTTTTTTTAATATATTAACTTTCTTTGCGAGATATATCTCTTTATATCATTCTTCAATATCAATGATAAAATTTTCCCTGATTTTTAACACATTTTAAAATGCACACCGGTTGACAATTATTCCAACGAGTTTCGTAAGCTCATGGGGATTTCGTGATCCGCATTTTCGTGATGATCAAGTAGAGCTATAAGAATATAGAGATGTGCAAGGTAATCCGAACGAAAGATTTCTCGCGCGGAAATAGATAGCGCTCAAGGATCTGTTTCTATCCTTCGAGCATTTCATTTCTTCGTGTGAAAAGAGATATCCAGGATTTTCTTATCGTCGCGCATTAATCCGCGCGACTCGATAATCAAGTTGCAACCTCGGCATGTTATTTTTCGAATAGGAAGCGAGCGTTTCCGTGTGCGCAGATACACGCGAGAAAGAAAACGCAAGGAAAACAACGCGGGGAAGAAATCTATGGAAGCGTGAGCCCGAGCGTCTTTTATTCTTATTCTCTGACTGGCGCCAACTGATCGTCGTCATATCGGATCCGTGCAATTAAAGATTCAATTTCGCGTGAAATTATGGTTATCCAGACTGGGGAAAACGACGCGTTATTACAGGTTTGTCCTGTCTGTTCTGTTCTTCTTTTGTTGATGACTTCTTTTGATTTCCAAAAGAAAAAGATAAATGTAAAATGTTCACTGAACGTTTATTCGAATATTGTTTGTGCAGGGAATGGTTAAAAATTGTAATTGAAATAAAAGTATGACGTGTCTCTGGTGCAAAAATGCATTTTTCGTAGCAAAGGTAATAAACGGTAGTTCTTTTGAATTTAGGCTTACGACACGAATCGTACCGGTCAAACTTTCGATCGGATATCCATCGTGTATACCGAATCGGAGTTGTTTAACAAGTTTTAATAACATTGTTAGAAAGGTAGAATGCTTTTATGCAGTACAACAACGGTAACCACGAGGTATCAATCTTCTCGCATTGCATAAATTAACTTTGCACCGCGATTGAATGCGATGCAAGTTGAAAGGAGATTCATCGTATGCAAATTGACGATCGATTGTCGAGACCGTAGGGTGAATTATACCCATGTTGGCCTACGTTATGGCTGACAAAGGCACGGCTATCATCCGAATGCTTTACGAGCCGACGTAATAATCAAACGATCCAGAAAGTTGCAGCTTACAAGTTACAATCATTTGATACACGTGTATACGCGTATCGTATTCGTTCGAAAATATTATTAAATTAAAGTTCCGTTTTATTCTGATCGAAGTGTAATACGTAAATGCAAAATTCTCCATTCTTTCTCCATCCTTATTCTATCTCGATTTATTCTATCGATCGATTTTAATCGCGATGGAAGTTTTTTATAATTGATACTACGCTTCGTGGCAATTTTTAACAATTAGAATTTTAAATATAGAATTTTTTATCTAACCGGTTGTTATTTAAAAAGACGGAATATTTTTCTATTTGATTTGTGAACATATTATAATAAACGGCAATTAATTAAGATAATTCGTAATACAGGTTGCGGCAAGGCCATCGATAGGCCGCATCACGCGAACGGCAGCACGGTCAGCAAGGTAAATAACAAGAGACGACGATGGCATCTTCAGTCCGGCAATTATATCGAAGCGAAAGGTGGATACTTTTGATCGAACCTTGAACGTTCGCGTGAAGCGATTTTCTCGCGATGCACGATGCTCATCGCGTATCCATATATACTCGGTTGCACAACCAGTCCGGAAACGCTTTATTGATGGTTAATTGTTTGCATTGTTATCTTGCGTCGACATAACGGTTATGGAAATTCTACGGAAAAAAACGAAATTGCCTTTCTAATTAAATCGTGAAACCTCTTGGGTTTCAATCTGTTGTAATTTTGATCGGTTAAACATTTTCGTCACGTTGATTAATTTTAATGAAGTCTAATAGACAATCGTTGACATTGGTTTATTAAGATGTGCGATCCGATGTCGTTGATGGCTTTTTAATCAGGTTTATAAATAATTAATCTACGTTTATCTATGTATTACATTTCATTTGTCGATTTTTTTTTTTTTTATTTAAATTCTCACAAAATAGGAAACAAAAATTTTCTTCTTTGCTTTAGAAATATATTAGTTGCATCCTACCTCGAATTATGATGTTACAATTACAACGATTCTTTTATAACTCGTATCAATTCTAGATTTCGCACGATTAATTTTATTTTCAAAATGGTTTTATGCTTGGATGATTTAGCATTGCTCGATTGTTTACAATTTCTCATTATTTTCGTCTTATGTAAGTTCATCATACAAAGTAAATATTATTTATCAGTAGAAATTTTCCTTAACGATATATTATAAAATTGTTATATCATACAAAGGATAGAAATTTAATTTGTGTTTTAATATTAAAAAAATTCTAATGTTTAAATTCAATATTATCTTTACATTATAAAATATTTTAACATTAACCTTATTTGCAAATAAAATCGATTCGCGCCATTGAACGTCTACTTATACCGACGGTAGATGGCGTTGTTTCAAGCGTTTATACTTCTGTTGTTCTCTACGAGATGGTAATCTCTATCATTTCTACAGTGTTCTCGAGTGTTTAGTGTTTCTCTAGAATTTTTTTTTATTAAAAATCTTCACATTTTTGTGAATGAAAACATTTTATTATTTTTATCTCACGCGTACTCCGTTTCTTGGATAATAAAAACTTATATGACGGATCCTAACCTATCGAAGAAATTTTTGCACGCCTGTCAAAGTGGAGACTTATCAAGAGTAGAAACTCTTGTATCCAAATATGATATTCAAGATTGGACATTCTTCCGGCATTTGTCTTCTGGTGACACCGCTTTGCATGTTGCTGCTCGTGCGGGTCATTTGAATATCGTTCGATATTTATATGAAACTTTCGAGAAACCAGACTTTAAAGTCGATGTTGCCAATAAAGATATGAAGAGACCATTGCACGAGGCGGCACAGTTTGCACGCAACGATATCGTGAAGTATTTAATTGAAAAAGGTGTTTTTCTCTCGTCTAACGTCATTTTTCTTTTATATTACTAACACTGAATTATTTTCATTTAAAGGTGCAACCATAGATGCATTGAAACGCGCTGATTGGACACCGCTCATGCTGGCTTGTACAAAAACCGGAAACGATGCGTACGAATGCGTTGCCGCGCTTTTGAGGGCACAAGCAAATCCGTTTTTGCGAAATAAAGATGGATGGACACCGTTACATTTGATCTGTCGTTCTGGCAACGAAGATGCATTTGATTTATTGGTGAGTCAGTTCACTAGATGCATCGACGATCGAAGCAATAATGGCCGAAGCGCTATACACATTGCTGGTAATAATTTTTATGCTATGTATTTTAATATGTATAAATTGTAGAATAATTTTAATTATATACCTATTTAATTATACCATCTATTCTCTTATTAATTTTTTAGCATTTCACGGACACGAACGTTTGGTCGATCGACTTTTGGCGCTTAATTCGAATTTTCTGAATGCGCGGGATTCCACAGGATCCACTCCTCTTCACGAATCTGTTAAAGGAGGTCATCTAATCGTGACGAAACGATTAATAGATCTGGGAGCTGATGTTAATGCTACGGATAATGTTGGTCAGACCATCTTACGCATAGCAGCTATAATTGGAAACGAAGAAGCTGTGAAAGATATTTTAGAAAATTAATCGAAAGAGTAAGTAAAAAGAAACAGAGGATTAAATAAATTGTTCCTTTTTTTTTATGCAATTAGGAAATTTTCTAATCTAAAGAAAAATAAGACTTTTCTTTTTTTTTATTCAGAGATTGGTACACATTTATTTATCCTTTTTTCCTGTATCAGACAGTCTTAAAGAAGCATACAAAAATGAAGAAACGGAGGCTCTTAGTAGATCGGAGATACCTAGATTTTACATTCTTCTTGTTCATTTGTGTTTTTCTTTTCCTTCTTCCTCTTCTTCTGCTTGTTCTTCGGTCTTTCTCTTCCTTTTCATTTGTAGCGTGCGCAGGCAGGCGATGGATGATTCACGGGAAACTTACGCGTAATTACATGCTAAAACCGTGTCCGTGTATTTTTTTCCTTTATTTCCTTTAAACACGTTCGTTTAAATATCACTTATAAACAGGGAACATAAATGGTAAAGATCACAGAATTTTTACGAATTCTATGTGAACATGAATCGTGCGCCGGTTTATTCAAAATTCTGCAATTCTGCAATCGTTGTTTTTGCTTCTTCGTGTCTTTTGGATAAAAATAGTTCGGTAAAAAGCCGATTCGAAAAATATTCCAATACTTTCGAATGATGAGCGAGTGGGGAAGGAATGAGATGATCGGTGCACATACGTGTGGCGAGGGAACGTTCCTATTTTCCAATTTACTTTGGATTTACTTTCGGCAATTGCTTTGAATTTCCTTTCACTCATTGTTCCAATGCATTTCTTCCTTTCTTTTCTTTTCTTTTCTTTTTTTTCTTCTTTCTTCCCTTCTTTTTTCTTTTTCTCTTTTTGCACGCGAAATAAAAAGTTAATCGCTAAGTATCTCGAGGGACGACACGATCGTGGTTCGTTTGGAAAATCGTTTACGCGATGCTGCGGACGAGAGAACAAGGATGAAAAGTAAAGAGAGACAGCGCATACGATTGAAAGGAACATCTCGAAATTGGACAGTACGGACAGGTGTGTCGATGTCGATCAGAGAGAGAGAGAAAGAAAGAGAGAGAGAGAGAGACAGAGAGAAGAGAGAGAAGAGAGAGAGAGAGATCAGCCTCGCGTGAAAAGAGGAGAAGGATCGAGATCACGGGCGAGGGGGATGAGAAAGGAGGGAAGGGAAGAGGATGGATTTATATTTATAAAACGGCTAAGGATAAAACATGCATTGTATATCTGTCCATCTGATTAATCGTTTCCATTCTTAATCTTTTTTCTTTCCTCTTCTATTCTCCAATCTTCTTTCCCCTCTCTTCCGCTTTTGTCTACCTTCACGCTCTTCTTCTTCTTTTCCCTATGAACTTTCCATTCATTCATTCATTTAACAGTAACCTAACGCACGGGACGAGTGCTTGAGTTCATATTTAATCTTTTTTTTTACATTCCCTCTTTCATCCGCCGAACTTACATATTATTTATCGATCTTTCTTTTTTTTCGTTCTTTTTTTTTTAATCCATACCCTCTCTTTAGCGGAGTCGTTTATAAATATCCAATGATTATTCGGGGCTCTCATTTAATATTGTTATTATATTTTTTTTTTCTGTTTCTTTTACTTCCTCGCTTAATTTATTTACACATTAACTAATTACGCTTGGGACTTAAGTTAAACCGCCTCACGCATCCGCCATCACGATAATAGTCACTGTAATATCCACTACTTACTAATAACTTGTCTTATCTAGTGTATTCTTTTCTGTTTTCACATCGATCGTCTCGGTCGCCTCTCGTTCTTTTCACCTCTCTTTCTCATCATCATCATTTCCTCTCATGCACACACAATTCTCTCTTTCGCACTTTTCTTCAGCGCATTTCTCTCTTTTTTCTTTTTTTCTTTGTTCCATTTACATTACAACGTGTTCAACATGTACAAAGCCCTATTTACATTATGTACACGACTTATTTCGAGAATTTTCCAATGATAATGTTTCTCACACACTCCCTCTCCCCTTTCGCACGCGACAAATCCTCAAACCGGTGCGTTCTCTTTTCCTTTTCTTTTTTCCAATGTGGTGGCCCGCCGGTTACGCCGGTTACGTTGTCAATGCAAGAAAAAAAAAATAATATATATATATATATATAAAAACGAAAGAAAGAAGAATAAAACGAAGGAGAGAGAGAAAAGAAAAAAAAAGAACGGTAATAAAATTACGCAAATTCGTAAAATCGATTGCCTATTCATCCAGGCACAAATGCGCTCGAGATTGTTCCCGTCTACTTGGCTCTTGGTAATACATCTTCCCTTTTATCCCCTTTCATCTCTTTCGATTACGACAAGTCGAACGGATGGAATGTGGCTGCGTTTTTCGATATATTATCCGGTAGTTCTCTAACTCGTTCCATGGGCAAGACCTTTCGCTTGTACAAAATTCGTAGAATCTAAACTCTGTCGCACCGTGGACAGAGGCGCCGCGATTGAAACGTTCGCGAGACGCGACGACGCAAGGGAGAAAACGCAGAGATGCACGAATCGTTGGACGAATGGAAATTTTAACCGAGTTATCGACGAATCCGTCGTCGCGTATCGTAACGCGTGTCTCTCACATTTAACAGTTACGAACGACGCACGAAGGCTTCGCATAACGAACAGTGTTCAAGTCCAATTTTGTATCGTTGATTCTTCTAAGAAACTCTGTGAAATCGCATAGAGTTATTGTTATTTTGATTAAACGACGCGAAATCTCGAGGACTCGATACCCGATTGACTTTCGTAACACTTGGTGCGTTGCTCTGTAATTGACTGAAAAAGATATCTCGCTCGGTTGTTGTCTCCTTATCGTGACGACGAAGGAGTGGAAAAGTGGAACGAAAAACAAAAAAAAAAAGAAGAAAAAAAAAAAAGGAACGTTTAAGATAGCAAAAATTCGACTCTCTTTTTTGTGACACGACACTTCGTCCGGATGATGATTTCGAATGGCGAGCGACCGAGTACAAACTTCTGGTTTTATTCGCTGACGAGAATAAACGAAACGTGTGACGTGAATTAGAATTTCGTGGCAAAATGGAAATGATATATATATATTTACATACTCGACATATTTTCGTTCTACCTTTAACATCAGTGGACAGAAACGGTTTCCGGATGCGCTTGTCATCTCAAACTACGCTTGTGCGAAGGGATCTCTAAAAAGTGGAAAAACCAAGATACAACTGCGCGAATGGGTTCTCGCGATGTCAAAGAATGAGCAATTTACGTTTCATAGAAGTCGGAGGAAACGTTCGTAACGCTTAGCAATTAGCTACGCTGGTACCCTTAAACGCTGATTATCGCTATTTATAATTCGCCTATAGATTTATCTTCGCCTTAACGTACGATTTGCCGGAGAGAAGGATCACGGCCGGCCCGGCTGAGCAGGGAAATAAATTAAAGAAAAAAAAGAAATTATACGTAATAAAAAAAAAAAAAGAAGAAAGAAGAACCGAGAGAAAGAGTACATTGAATTCAACTGTATTCGCGTATTCCTTTGAACGGAGGAAACGGAAGTTCGAACGCTCGATTGAAAGAATAATTTACAATTTACAATTTAACAAATTTCTCATATTTGGCTGAAGAACCATGATACGATTAAAAAAGAAAAGAAATAAAAAAATAAAAAACAAAAGCTTGGAAAAAGAAGAACCTTGTCTTTGCAATTAAGTTAACCCAACATATCTTTCTCCTGTTATATCGGTTCGAGACGAGCATCGAGCCAAAAATGGCGCGTCGAGAGAGCTCGACGTTCGTCGTCGCCTGATATACGCTTCCGTTCGTCGACGATGGATCTTCTTTGCAAGCACAAAATTTCGTCCCTCGATTCGATGATCGAATGACAGCGAGTTCACCCGATCGACCAACTCTCGATACATCTCGAATTTTCGCATTTCGTTCAAGCGTCGTTCTTCGCTGATCATCGGATCGTCGGATCTCAACACGAGTTGTTAATTACACATTAGATAACACTCACGGATGATAAAAAATAAATAGCGCGCGGGTTCCCTTAGTTACACATTACGCGATTACGACATATACCTTTTTTTGTTCTTTAAAAAATAGTAAAAAACAGTGACTAAGTTTTTTTTCGCTTTTTCCATGTCGCTCGGAAAATCGCTTTGTATCACTATATATATAATATATATATATATATATTTATATATATATACTTGTTTCGTACAACTCTCGCCCACTTTTCTCTCTCGTTATTTTTTTTATTTTGTTTGTTTATGTATATATATATAATATCGTTACTGTATACATACATATACATTTATATATATATATATCATTTTTTTTTTTTTATTATAAAAATAACATTCTGGGACTAAAACGTAACGTTCCAAAAGCAATGTACAAGTGAGGAGCTGGCTGGGACGACCGATAAAGGTACTTTTTTTTTTTCTTTCTTTTTTTTAACCGCGGTTAACGTTAAACTACTAATCTTTCTTACTCGGTTTAAAATGGACATTCCTTTCTGTTCTTTCTTTCTTTCTTTCTTTTTCTTTTCTTTTCTTTTCTTCTATCTCCGGAACTCGAAGATTTCTTTCTTTCTTTCTTTCTTTCTTTTTTTATCTCACGAATAAATCGTTACCTTCCGAAGCAGATCGTGTCGCAGAAATTTTCACGAAAAGCTAAATCTGGCGACTTTAGAAGTAACTCTACGATACGATCACTAATGTAACGCGATAATGATTAATCGAAGTAAGCGTCGATCGATTATTTTATGTTTAACTTTAGTTTTTTTTTTTTTTTCTTTTCTTCTTCCTATGGCGAGGTCGATATCGATCAGCAATTCCGCGATATGTCATCGAACGCTCCCCTCTCCCTCCCCCTCATCCTCCCACCCCCTATCCCCCGGCCCCCGGTTCGATGAAAGTCGAGACGTTCGAAGGAAACAGACGGGCATCAGATTCCTTTATCGTGTCGTCGTTGATTCCCTTCGCTGGGGATCCAAATCGAATTCTCATCGATCGAATGACCCGTTAACGAACGATTTTTTCCCGCCCACAAACTTTCTCATCGATCTCGATATGTCTCATTATTATTTCTCGAATCGTTTTTTTCTTTTTCTTTTTGTTTCGTTAACGAGCGTAGCCAGCCATCGACGAGATCATCGAGGAAGAAATCTTTATTACCTCGATCTTTTACGTGAACGCGTACGAGGGACAGGCTTCGAGGATAATGATCGATAACGAACAAGAACAACATCCTGAAGAAGGGAAGGAAAATAATTATCTCCAACATTATTACGTGCGTTGAACGATCATCACGTACGAATTTTCATTGACAATCCGCACTCCTCGAAACCTCGAGCTCCGTAAGCGTTTCCCCGTAAGCAAAATCTTAAGTAAACCTAGAAGAGGACTCGTCACGTTTTATCGTTCTTCGCACGACATCGTATCCGCGCGTCGTTTCGTCAATGAGCCAATTCCAAAGCCCGAGCACAGCTTCTTCGACGGTTACAACGACGATTATCGAATTAACTTCAACAAGATTGTGTTCTTCGTGATTGTTCTTTCTCTTCTTTTTTTTTTTTTTCTTTTTTCCTTTTTTCTGTAATAATTCACACTATCGTATTCACAGATACTCCTCGGCGTTTCGTCACACACTCGCACGATTCTTGAACCGGAGACGACAGACACGTCCGTTGGCGTGGACATTGCGCGGGTGCACGCAAATTCTCGAAAAGAAAAAAAAAAAATAATATATATATATATATAAACGGAAACAGAAACAAAGGAGAGTCGAGAACGGCCGGCGAAGGGCCGTGCCCGCTTATGGCTAAGAAACGCAACGGGGCAACCGTAGAGTCGCGTTTGAGCTAGAAACTCGTTCACAATTCTTCTCGTTCATCCGTGCTGAAACGTAGAGGTCGAGACGCGCGTCGATCGTATCGTGGATCGTTTTCTTCGTATCGGGAACGGACCGCCGTTGTTCAAGAAGGGATCATCCTCTCCAATTCTCTATCCGCGCGATCCCTCTCGGAATCGCGAGATTTCGCGAGAGATCCGATCCCCTTCCATGACAAACGTTGTGCCGCAGAAGCGCACGATCGATCGTTCCGTCGATCTCCAACGATCGAAAACGGCGGCGTCTCGAGAGGCGAGAAACTGCTCCATCCACCCATCCATCATCCTTCGTGCGGAAGGAAGACGAAGAGGACGACAAGATGCTGGCACCTTAGGGGGCGTCCTAACACTCGCTGTACGAAGGGGGTGGCATCCCGCGGCCTGTGTACATGTCCGTCTGCGGCTGCAGATGACAGACGACCGTGTGCCCGTCCAGAACCGCGACTGTTCTCGTGTGGTCCGGCTGAGGCGGTATGCCGTAACTGGCCGGAAGCCGGGGCAACTCGCCCCTCTCGTACCATGCTTGCTGCTTTCTCAACTTCTCCCAACAAGTGTTGAGTGTCCTCTCGAACGCGGGGCTGTACTCGTCGCAATGGATGTTCCCACCTCCGCGATCCGTCAACGTTTGCCCATAATGCATTAGATTTCTGTCGGTGGCGGGCGAGTACGGGATCAACGGCCTGTGATCCCCGTAACTTCTCGACGATTGCCTGCTCATGTCGCTCTGCCTTCTCCCATCCTCGTCCGACATGTCCGACACTTGGATCTCCCCGCCACCGCCCCCGCCCCCCCGCTCGATCTCCTCGTAAACGGGCTCGTCCTCGTTGGCCAGGTCCCGCGGCAGGTGCACGTGTTGGCCGTGGTGGGCGTGCAGCTGGTGATGACCCGGCCCGTTCACGCGACCGTCCACGATCTCCGTGTACTTGTGCTTGTACGGCATCGCGGCTCGTCTGCCGCCGCCGCCCCCGCCGGTCGTCCTGTTGCCGCTCATCTCGTTCATCCCCTCGTTGATCCCTCTCGCGCCGCGGTTCCGCCCGGAGTGGCCCAGGGTCATCGTGTTGTGCGTCCTGGGCGAGTCTTCCTGCTCGGACCCGCCGTGCCCCGAGTCCCGGGAATACGATTTAAAAGAATGTTCTGCGGGATCAGACAGACGATCAAGTTTGCGATGAGCGAGTGCGAGACCATCGTGATCCACGTGATCGTGGATCGGATTATATATATATATATAGAGAGAGAGAGAGAGAGAGAGAGAGTA